TTGACACAAACTTATTATCTTTTCTACAGATAGTATTACCAAGTTCATCGTAGGATAAGCAGATTCTTGTAATTTTTTTGATATAATATCAAAATCCGTGCAAAGAACAACCAAAGGTTTTATTAAAGATATGTCAATCTTATTAGTTATATTCAATTCTTCAGACTGCGGAAGAATTTCATTAATCTTCTGCCAGTTATTTTCTATTGACTTCAGCATTGCGAATTGAGAATACCATCCAGTTGGGCAATAAGTTTTTACAGATGTTTCCAACATATGCAGCAAATTTGCCTTTTTTAAGTATTTTACAAGAAGTTTGCAGCTTTCAATAGTATCTGTAAGTTCTGAAGTAGCATCAAAGGCAGAATTAACTATATTTGATATTAAGTGGTTAGCGCAATTTAATCTCTTATTATTTTGAAGCGCTTTTGTAACATTGCTGTCTCGATCAGTAACAAAAGTTATTGGTTCCAAGTCCCTCACGTCAAATTCATTAAACAGTGAGGACAATTTAGTGTAAACATTCAATCCACTCGAGTGCATGTGGTCCATCGATTTCATTCCAAGGACAATGTCCCGAATTTCGGAATCCTCTTTATAGTGTAACGTTGCGCATACGTAATTCCGCTTTACGAAATCGTCTGACCATAAATGAATAGTTGCTGATGCATCTCCGTCAGCGATTTTTTGTTTCATTTCCCTTTTGATGTCGTTTTTATTTTCCTCAGCTATTGTATTAATTAGTTGAGATATTGCCGTTGAGTCAGGCAATAAATAAGTCATATCAACATTTGCGCCATAATGTACACCAATGTTTATAAAAAATTTGATCATTTTTCGAAATTCATTTCCTTGTACCACACTAACTGGCACACAATTTTCAACGATCCATGCTGTGCAGGTCTTAACTGCTTTTTTCTTGTCCTTGTCCAATACTTTCCACTTTATACTTTTCGCCGGAAAAGTTGCTAAGTAGCAGTCGTGAAGAGTTAGATTCGACAGCTCTTCGTTGTATTTGAATAGATGTTTGCAGATGATGCAATATAAAAAATCTTCTAAAATAGAACCATCATCCTTCTTAATTTCTGCAAATACAGTCCACATCCTGTTGATTCCCTTCGGTTTATTGGATAAGGTGTAAACCCCAGCCTTTATTTTCTGGTACACTTGTTCGGAATCCTCTGAAGTGTTCATAATTGGTTTTCAGATTGTGTTTTATTCTTTTCACGGATTAATAATATTATTAATATATAATTTAATTTCAATCTTTCACCTAACAATTAATTAACAATTAATTAATTAATTTAACAATTAATAAAATTTCAAAAACTTCTTAATTTAACAGCTTAATTTAAAGACGTTTTAATAATTATTAATTAATTTTTCTTATGTTTATATTTAATAGTTAAGGCGACTTTACACATTGAAACCTTGTTATATTTTGTTATAATTGTGACTTTTGTCTTTTATTTTATATATAAATCACAGATCGATTACAGGTACCTATCTATCTTTCTTATCCTTATTTTTAGAAATATAAATATTTGTTTATATATGCAGAGCGTATTACAGAAATAGGTAAAATATTTCAAGGTTTAATCTATGGAGATTATTGTTAAACGATTTTAAGGATAATAATTCTTGGAATATGTATACCCTGTAATACATATTTATGCTTTATTTTGATTAGTATAAACCATAATTATACTGAAAAACAAAATTGAAATAGATAATTAGTTGATTTGAAGTAATTAGTTCTTAAAATCACATCAGTTTTTAAAGGATGTGATTTTTAGTGAGTTTTTAAATGAATGATTTAAAATAAACGAATATAAACGGAATAAACAAATTTATTCGATTGTGACAAACAAAAATATTGTGTGAATCCAATATAAGACTGTATTGATTGTTATTTTTGAATACTATTTTATTCACTATGTTTCAGCGAGACTTAAAATTAATTTTAAAACTGATTTACTTTTGAGAGCGTTTGCGCACAAGAATTAAGAGTACATTTAAGGTCGCTGTCATTAAGTCAGCTGTTAAGCGGTAAACAAAAATGTTGATTTTAATATTTTAAAAATGAACGGAGTAAAACTACAAATTGTTTTATATTTATTGCAAAAGAAAGATGTTGTACCAAAAATAGTAGAAGAATATAATAAAATAACAATGAAGATTTTAGGAATATCCCATATAAGATTTGCAAAATCACGAGAAATGCGATTACAACTCTTTAATTAAATGGCAATACTTCCGACTTCCATTTCTTGGCGAACTATTTCATGTTCTTTCTATATTTCTTGCCGTCTAACAGTTTTACTATTTCTTTTTTCTCATATATTTTAATTAAATACTCTTTCTCTTTTTTCATCGAATTTTTTTTTATTATTTCCCTTTTTTTATCCATATATTTTGTCAACAGTGTTATTTGTGCTAAAATTCAAACACCTAATGACAGTCAACAGTTGACAATTCAAACCTTAAACTGCTTTTGAGGTGTTTACGCAACGCTTATAACTTTAGTTTGTTTACGCGATCTTAAAATCGATTTTAAGAGTCTTAAAACTACTTTTAAGTTGTTTAAAATATTACAATTTTTCTAAATATTTCAATTAATTTATCAATTTTATTGACGCATCTATCATATTTTGAGTTTCTGTGCTTTAAGAAGTAAATTTATCAATTTTTTGTTTATTTATATCGGAAAAATATTTTTATATTCAATAAAACTATTAAAATTTATATTAGTAAAATAAGACCTATGAATTAGTTATCTGAATACAATAATTAATATTAAAAGTTCTGCTAAAATTTTTTTATTTAATGAAATGAGTTCAAACAACAAAAGCCTTTCAGAGGCTTTCAGAGCAGAAAAAAAATAACATTAACTCTGGTGAAAGAAATTGGCAGCACTTTTAAAATATGTTGAATGCTTTTGTTTGACATATGCTTTTTGTTGTGGTTTGTACAATGTGATATGATACGAATGACTTGAATTTTAAAATATATTTTCAGTGAACATTTGACATAGACTGATTTTTTTTGGCCGAATTAAAATTTTAGTCTTAAATTTTTTTTGCGAGTAAAATCTAATACGGCGTTTACATTGGCCGAAAATGGCTCATTTTGGTCAAAAATCGAAAATGAGTATCGAATGGCTCATTCTTACATATAAAATTTCAAGCTCAAAAATGAGTAATTTTCTCACATTCTGTATGAATGACGTTCGAATGCATTCCACATACGTTCCAAATGCAAAGGAATCCATTGAACATACCCTAAATGAAAGCTCTTCATGGCATTTTGACTGTTTGAAAAAGCTGTTTTTAACATATTTACAAAAAAAGGTAAACAAATGTTTGGTGGTTGCATTTTCTTGAAAACGATGCACTGCTTTTTAGAACTTTTAATTCCCAAAAAGTAATTAATCGAAGTTAAAAATATGTTTTAAGTTTCTAATGTAAGATTTGAAGGCATATTTAACCTTCATGCAACATTTTTTTGGCACAGGCCAAAAATCAAATCAACATGCAAGTTGAAAAATCAGCTGTTGAAATGAGAACAAATGAAATAGAACGAATGTAAACACTTTCAAATGGCTCATTCAAAATGAGCCATTTTCGGCCAATGTAAACGCCGTATAACTCAGATTTTAAGAGCATTGTTGTTGCTTCACATGTTTTCTTTCGTAAGTTCCGAGTATTGTTTTGCTACTTTGGAAGAAAGAAATACGGCTTAAGTAAATAAAAACGCTTAATTTTTAAATGTTTCTATTGGGCCTATTTACACTATCATGAACGTGAGATGAACTTGACAACATCTTGAACTGACAGTTCAGTTTACACTATCATGAACTGTCATGAAGCATGCAATTTTGTTTTGTTCTGTGTTAACGTATAAAATGCTTGTGTGTAGTAGTGCATAGCACAGAAAACATTCAGCATTAAATTACTTAAAAGGTATGCGGAGCTTCAACAATGGATCTGAATAAAGAATTTTGTTTTCGTGATTCAACATAAAAATCACTAAACTCATAAACACTAAAACATAACATTGTATGTATGCATTTCGTGCTGAAAAAAGAAGCATATTTCATTGCTTAAAATTTATGAACTAACATCACACTCTTTTCCCCCCTCATCTATCGGAAACCAGTTTTCAAATTCATGTTCATGTGTAGGCCCATTTACTTTAAAATTTATATCTTGTATCTCCTAATGTTTTCATATGAATACACTGTGTAGTAAATAAAATAGTTTACACAAAACAGTACAAATATAATAAACACAGCAACCCTGTCCAAGTACTATTTCTATTAGCCGAAAGCACGTAACTGCAGTACGTGTAACTACTGTCATATGCAGTAAACGATTCATTGTATTGCCACAACACTTATTAAAGTTTACGTTTGTTGTTTTGAAGAAAACTGTTTAATATAAATTTAAAAAATTCTCTTTGAATAACGACAAAAACTTGAAAATCATTAAGTGAGAAGATAATGTTAAAACAAAAATATAATAATTAGTGTTAAGTAATAGAATCTTAAGTGTTTTTCCTTTCACTTTTCCTATGCTTAATACAAAGAAATTTCCTGAAATTATATGACTTTTTTTAACAACATACTTTTATTTCTGCTTTTTTCATAACTCATTTGTTTTTAAAAAATTATACCCCCTACTCCCTCGCATGATCGGTAAAATCCACTATCCTTTCACTTTCAAGCTTTCATTTTCGTATTTATGTATACATATTAATGCCTGCAAGTGCACAGATATGTGTGATTGTTTGTGTGTGCATTGTTTTTTTTTTAACTTTGCATTGATTTCCCCCAATTGGGCGCTAAAAATATAACAATATTCAGCATATAAAAAATGATATTGTCGACAAACAAAAACGTTACATAAACAAAACGAAAACAACAAAAAAAGAAAAATGCAAAAAATATAACAAAATATTTAAGTTTATTTTTTAATAACTCAAATGCGTTTAATTTTTGTTTGTGCATTTCGTTGAAGTGTAGCTAGCAGTGCTTTTGGTAAACGCAATTTCCCAGCGGTTGTTATTATTTAGTTGGTTTGTTTTTGCAGTTGACTTATTTCACTGCAAGTGCAATTTAATTAAGTTTTGTCCAAGTGATAAAAAAAGTCATAAAAAATATAGAATTTTAGTTTATCAATGTGAATAATAAATAGATAAGTGCAGACGACATACACAACGCCAGCGTTACCTGGAGGATGAGTGCGGGTTGGCTATTGTGTATAAAGTTTACGTTTTAAACCAGACTAAACACTTCGTGGTGAGTAAGGACAGTTCACCGTGTGTCAGTGTGTTGAATAAATTTAAAGTGGATTATAAAGCTATTACAACACCGTACGAAAACTCGTTTTAGTGAATTTTAAAATATTTTTAAATTTGCCTATTGCGGTATTGGTAAAAACAAAATTGTGTAAGGAAAACAGTAATTAATCTAGTTTTAATGCATAATTGTGTTAAATTTCAAACTTTCAATTTTATATATTACATTTTGAACTATTTGAATAAAAAAGCTTATTGCTGATAAATAAAATTATTTAAAGTGCTGTAGTGAATTAAAAATATTTTGATTGAACTTTGTGGTGAGAAAATATTTTTGAAGATAGTTTAAATGAAGATAACTACGTAAAACGTGCTCTATGTTTATTTAACAATAAAAAAAAAATAATTCTAAAACGTTTGTTTGTTATCGCATTTAGACTTAGTTTACTTGGTCGTTATCTACATATTTCTTCAAACTGATTTATTTTAATTTCAGAATAATAGTTTTAATTATGAGCTGCAAAAAACAAGAGTAGTTTAAATTAAAAACAAAAGTGTCCTAAGAAAAATTATCTAAAATCATTTGTGGTGAATAAAGTATTGTAAATTAGTTAATTAACCAAATAGTTGAAACGTCATGATATCATATTCGTATACTTTTCTGTTAGTATTGCAAAGTATTGTAAATTAGTTAATTAACCAAATAGTTGTAACGTCATGATATCATATTCGTATACTTTTCTGTTAAAAAATATTTTTGTGCTTACGTTCTTCGTTACAATTTCATTGAATTGCATTGAAAGCAACAACAATTGACCTCCAAAACTACCCAATATGAAATAATTAAATTTTGTAATTAAAATTACAAACAAAAATATCGTTGCTTTATGTGTACTCTGTCATAACTTATCATTTTTTCTGCGTTCTTCTACTAACATATTAGCCGAACTCATATTAGCCAGCTTTAACTGACTAACATTTAGCCTTCTTCCAACTAACATTTTGGGATTTAACTCTATAAGTCTAATACTACGTTTACATTGTTAGATTTAGAGAAAGAGATTAAGTTAATCTGTAATTTCATTTTCCATCTTTTACATTATACATTGGAGATTAATTTTGGCGTTTAACAAATTTCTGTAAATAAAACATTTAATAGTAACTTTGTACAAAAAAATTATAAAATAAATTTAATAAATAGTTTTATAACAATAATTTAATAAATTTTAGTTACATTTCTGCACAAAACTATTATTAAATAAATTTAATAAAATCTTCACTCACTTCAGCATTTTCTAATTTTCAATGTTTATTTTGAATAAATTTTGTCATTTATCTTCCAATTATTCTAAGATCGTCGAAAAATATACGATATTAAGACATTTGCAGAGCTGCACAAAAAAATCACAATTTCTAAGGAGATTAAAAATTAATCTCAACCAGAACGACATAAACTTTTGTATGAGAAATCTGTAATTAAACAACGACATACTTTAACCTGGATTATTGCTTTAATGTACTGTTAATCTCACAATGTAAACGCCGTATAACGTAGTATAAATTTATTTACATAAATTTATCAAACACACGTAATAAAACATAACAAGATAAACGTTTAAATTCATCTCGAATGTATAATATAAACGGTGTAGATAAAAAATTCAGATTAACTTAACCTCGTTCTTCTAATCTCACAATGTAAACGTAGTATTAAATGTATTTGAAAACATTTTCATGGATTATATAGCAGGCATTGACATGTTTCCATGTCTGTATTATTTAAAGTATAAATTTAACTTATTTAAAGTATTTTTCATTTATAAAAATTTTTATTATTTATTAAAAAAATCGAAGTATTACATTGAAATAAATTTTAGATCATATGTAAGTGCAAAAAATAAATAAATGATATGATTTCTTAGCCTAGTTAAAGCCTAGTGTGGGGTAGTGATAAGCCCCCCCAGCCATTATAGAGTAAAAGTGCGTAATAGCACTAACTCAAGAACAAGAAGAAGAAGAAGTGCAAACTTATAAACATAAATACTTTAATAATTAAATTTGATTTAATTGAATTAAATTTAATTTTGCATTTGTGGTGACTTATAATTGTTGTGCCAAAAAATAAGGCAGTAACAAAATCACCTTATAAATTGTTTTATCCATTTGCCCAGTATAAACATTTTGTTTTGATTTTTGCATTTCAATGCATTTTTGCAGAAAAGATGTTCTTTAAATAATTTAATAGTAATAATAATTACAAATAATTTGTAATATTTAACAAATCCAATATTTTAATTTCATCAATTCTCAACAATATTGCATCAGCGTGGGGTTTTCTTTTTTTTTTTTTGGCTTCCCGAGAGTATAAATACCGGAGCCAGAAGCGACTCGTCTCACTTCTCGAATTTCACAAACATGAGCGCAAGCAATAAACTAAATCATAAAATTAAAAAAATTGGCAGCCGTCTGAAAAAAAGTAACAGTGCCTTTTTTATTACATTTAATACAATAAACATTAATTTCTTCTTAAAAATAAGAAATAAAAACTAATTTTTCTTTGCCTGCAGAATAAAAAGCAGTGGAGGTGGTGGATATGAATTTGTGCATTTCCATTGAAGATCAAAAATTCTTTAAGCGAAAATAAAAAGAGCATCAGCAAATATGAGTAACGAAGGGGCATTAGGTTCACCAAATGGGTTCATGGCACCCAACGCTATGTTTGAGGATATGCATAGTCCAAAGACAGATTATTCAAGCATACGTGGAAAAGTAGTGCTCGTTAGTCCCACAGAGGAGCAATACGAGTTGCTAAAGAAACGTTTGGAGGAGCGCACATTTGACAGTGGTGGAGAAACTATATATGAAATTGGTGTAGGAGAAGGTGACAACACTATGGCTTTATGATGAAACACTCTGTTATATGTGTATGTGTATGTTTGAAATTTTCAGATGGCAGTGACAGTGGTCTCGTTGAGGATGAATACCAAGCCTCCGTTGCCACACTGCAATCACTTGCCACCACAATTGACGCTGATATGGTACTTCTGAGACAGCGTAAAGGTGAAATGGGCATCACAGGGCAGTACCTAATAAGGAAACGTGTCGACACATCTGATTTTATGGAAATACGGTAAAATATTCATAACGAATTTTATAGTAAAATAAAATTATTAATAAAATATTTGCAGTGTTGCAGTTGTTGGTAATGTAGACGCAGGCAAATCTACTCTGTTGGGTGTACTTACACATGGGGAATTAGACAATGGCCGCGGACATGCAAGACAGAGGCTTTTTAGGCATAAACACGAAATGGAAAGTGGGCGTACTAGTTCTGTTGGAAATGATATCTTGGGTGAGAGAGCAATACATTTCTTTACATAATTATTTTATAGATTTCTTAACATACGAGTACACAAGTGTTCACTTATAGGAAAAGATAAAGGTTCGAAGAGATGCTCATTCTGTATATTCAAATGAAGCATACTTTAAGATATGAACCCTGTTATAAATTGAGGGGTTTTCTTTTAAAATTTTACCCTGGAACCATCTATTTCGGTTTAAATATAAGACGGAAGCTTTTTGTTTTTCTTAAAACAAGAAAACGCTTAAGGTTTTGGTCTTTTAAAAATATATATTTTATAGATCTTGCAGAAAATACAAATTTCATGAAATATTTCATCACAATAAGCCAATCATTACGCATTATAAAAATCGCATATTAAATTTAAATTCTTTGATAGTGTGGTAGCAGTGACACTTTCTAGAACGTAGTCTAATCATAAAAAATTTCCAATTTATTCTATCATTCGTTATAGATCTGCGTTTACTGAAAGTTTTACTCGAGTCTCTGTTGATTGTCCTTCTTCATGTAGTTTTTGGTCGACCACGATCTCTTTTTTCCTTGTGAATTCCATTCTAGAACGGAATGTGCGATTTCGCTGAAGGGTTTGCGTAAAGTGTGATTCAACCAAATGGAGTTTTTTTTAACATATATAAGACCTAGAAATAATTCTATCGTATTTTTAAAAAGTTTATGTGCTCTATCAAAATGAACCAGATTTCGAAATTGTAAAAGGGACTTCAAAAGATTTTAAACAATTTTATGACTATGTTATTGAAATTCTCTTGATGAATAAATCTTTTTCCCCAGAATATATTTCAACAGAATAAATCATCGTTTTCCAACCAGTGAAACAGATCTCCATTATAACTAGATTACACAATTTAATGTCTTTCTGTATGAGTCTAATATGACTCATCTTTAGTAGCACTAATACTCTGAAACTTGTATAAATAAAAGAACACACAGGTGCAGTATCCTCTTTGAGACCACGGTTGCACTGTAACAAAGCTCTCAATAGGCCTAAGCCTAATATCTTGTAAGAAAAACTATACATTCCACGTGCAACAAGAAATGTTCTAGATCAATTGAGATTAGGATACAGACATGTGCTTAACAGTTACTTACTCATAAACATGTTAGTTACCAACATTATTTCAACTCTAAATATCTCTTAATAAATAAATAACTCTAAATATGACGAAGTTGTTCATTTGTTTTGATGTCTTGTGTCTAATCCACATTTGGATCCGCCCCATTGAAGTGGTTAGGTTTATCAGCATTCATTAGCTTGACTTCAATTATTATCTCACATATCTCCAAAATAATTTTTATTCCATCGCTATGATCGTCTCTTAAAAGCATCTTTAAAAAAATATTCCTCCTCATACTCTCTGTCATTCTTTCTGTGCGGTCTATAGACGACGAAGTCATTGCTCAAGTGCAATTAGCATCCAAAAATATGCACCACAATATATATTTGCACGGTCTATGAGGTAGGGTTTTTTTATCTTAATACATGACTAGAATATATTTTGATCTGAATGTGTATATTTGTGTACCCAAATATTTTCATGGGGGAAAACATCGTGGGCATGATTCGATAAATATGAAAATGATTATGGAGCTAAGACAGTTACAAAGCTCCCTTTTGTCAAATCTCTATAACATTCCCCAATTCTATAACATATAATTCAGATGAAATCTCTGTGAATAACAGTTTTTCCAAGTTAAAAATAAGAACCTATGTATGTAATAAAGAAGTAGTGGTTCCAGTTGAAAAATGGCAGATGGTTAGAAAAGAAGTTACACATTCTCTTATACCATATTTTAATTTATTCCATTTCCCACGAATCATTCCATCACATATCCTCCCATCATTTTGTGATAGAACCTGTATATTCGCTGCTTGTCTAACTTTTTGAAAATTAATAGACCAATATTTGAGGGTCTTACAAATGCTAATTTCCAGTAGCTAGCCACCGGAGGGCATGACTTTGTAACTATGATATGGTCACGAGTCCGTGATAATGGCAAAGCTTCAGAAGCTGACGTTTTGAGCACAAAGAAAAATATGCAAAATAGTTCTTTCAAAATAATAGATAATAATATAAGTGTAAAAAACAGAAAACCTAAAATTTTGGTATACATTATTTCCAGGATTTGACAGTATTGGTAATGTGGTCAATAAACCAGATCATGGTACACTCGATTGGGTCAAGATTTGTGAAAAATCAGCTAAAGTTATAACATTCATTGATTTAGCCGGACATGAACGCTACTTGAAAACAACAGTTTTTGGCATGACTGGTCATGCCCCAGATTTTGGAATGCTAATGGTAAGAAAATTGATAAGGCAATATTAAACATGGAACCAAATATTAAAAATGTATAACTTACAGATTGGCGCAAATGCAGGCATTGTTGGCATGACTAAAGAGCATCTTGGTTTAGCGCTAGCATTATCTGTACCAGTTTTTGTTGTTGTCACAAAAATAGACATGTGTCCTCCAAACGTGCTCCAAGACAATCTTAAATTATTGTTTAAAATTCTGAAATCCCAAGGTTGTCGCAAAGTACCAGTTATGGTCAAAACACCTGATGAGGTTGTGCTAAGTGCAACCAATTTTGTTTCTGAACGATTATGTCCAATATTTCAAGTTTCCAATGTTACCGGAGAGAATTTAAATCTACTCAAAATGTTCTTGAATCTGCTAACAGCACGTATGTCTGGGCAAGGCGATCAACCAGCTGAATTTCAAATTGACGATACATACTCAGTACCAGGTGTGGGCACTGTTGTATCGGGTACTTGCCTACAGGGTTTGATAAAGCTTAATGATATACTGATGTTGGGTCCAGACCCTTTAGGCAACTTTACACCCATAGCTGTGAAAAGTATACATCGGAAACGTATGAATGTAAAAGAGGTACGTGGCGGCCAGACTGCAAGTTTTGCGCTCAAGAAAATTAAACGATCTCAAATTCGTAAAGGAATGGTAAGCCAATAGCTTACAATATTGAAATTTTTATACATTATTATATTTTATTTTAGGTTATGGTTAGTCCAGAGCTTAAGCCACAAGCTTGCTGGGAGTTCGAGGGTGAAATTCTCGTACTTCACCACCCCACAACTATATCATCACGCTACCAAGCTATGGTGCACTGTGGCAGTATACGTCAAACTGCTTCCATTGTTAATATGTCTAAAGAATGTTTGAGAACTGGTGATAAAGCACACGTCAAATTTAGGTTCATCAAACATCCAGAATATATTCGTCCTGGGCAACGTATGGTATTCCGTGAAGGCCGTACGAAAGCTGTTGGTAATGTCCTCAAACCAATCACAAACTCCGTTGCTATACATCACCGAGCTAAACCTAACAAAATGCAATCACGTGGCACTGGTCAAGGAAGTTCGCATTCACAAAATCAAAACCAAAGTCCAAATGTACAAGCGGCAACTGCAAAGCAAGTATCAACAACACCTGCCGAGGGAGTCTTAGAAGCTAGCGTTGATAAACGTGACAATCGTTCTGGCAAACGTACAAAACGTAATTATTCACATAACACCAATGGTGCGGCAGGAAATACAAGTACGGCAAATCCAGCTGGTGCCGCTGGAAACATAAAGAATGACCAACCACAAGCAAACAGTTCACATATCAGCAAAGCGCAGTGAATTCGCTTTTAAGTAATTGACAAAAGTAAAGTAAAGAAAAGTAATATTTTTGGACGAATAGGCATAGGCATTAAATATTAATTTCAATAAATTATATGATCTATGTGTGTTTAATTTCTTTCCTACATAAAAGACTATGTAATACATGTAAAAATTTGATTTAATAAATTTTAATTTTACTAATGCAAGACGCTGCCGCAAATTTTATTTTAGGTTCGCTGCCACTTGAGATTTTAATAAAAATTATAAAAGAAAAATTCTTCAAACAATTAAAATCTTTATACAATGGCCCTTTTTATACAATAGCGTCTCCTTTCTTCAACTGAGGTCAAGATAAAACAATATGCTATTTGGTTACTAGTCACGCAATAAATACGTCCATTGCTAATGTGTGTTCAAAGTGCATCTCTACTCGACAGGACATCGCTTTGCTATTTTCATACTTAAATGTGCACTCAAATTTGTTAACTTCTCCCAGTGTGGTATAGGACCTCAATGATACTTCTAAGTCTAACTTTATTTAATAATTCTCTATAGATCTGATTCCATGTATATCGTGCTTCAGCTAACCTACTTTTGAACTATCTTGTGTATTCCATACCAAAGCTTCTCTCGCCATGTAATTTCTCGGTTGTCTAAGCCTAACCACTTTCACTCTCTTATTTTTATTTCAATTTGTGCTGCTGTTCGAGTGTTTTGGTTCAGCAGACGTTCATTTGTTATTCTGGCCACCATATTTTAGACTTCTACGTAGGCTCCTGTTGACATTTGCATCTTTCTCTCTATATGTCTGGAGTGCTTCCATGTTTCACAGCCGTAGTACAAGATAGATTTGACATTTGTGTTAAACATTCGCAGTTTGGTCTACCTTCTGAGCTCAGTGGACCGCCATATTTTGTTAAGTGTACCAAATGCGGCATTCGCT